GGATCGCGTGGGACTCGCCCCTTCTCCAGGGTTCGGAAGCTCCTCTCCTGGGAGAGCGACCCGTCCGGTTTGCTCCAGCCCCCAGAAGTTTTTTATTTAAAAAAAAAAAAGTATGTGTGATTGAATTTTAAATAAACACATTTTAATGTGGAACTCAAATAAGATTTTTAATTTAAAGTTAATTTAAAAGTTGAATTTTTGGATATTCTTTAGAAAGATACTGAACCAACTCTCAGTCTGTAAGAAAGACCATTGTACTTTCTTATGAGGGAAGTAGAGAAGGCTTGTTCAGCAGCAGGGAAGGGAGAATGAAGCTCACACCAGGTGCCAGGTGTGTTCAGTTGTGCAGGATAAGTGCCACGTGATTCTAATCCTCACACTGGGCTCCCTCAGCTGTTGACTAAGGATCCTGTTACACAGGGAAGTGAGTTTTACCTTACATAAGGCTCCATCATGATTCTCTTTCCTGTAAGTGACTTTCTCCAGCTTCTAAATGTGGAGGCTTCCAAAGGCCATGCCAAGCCTGGGACAGAGGTCCCCATGAAGTCTTGCTGGGTGGACGAAGTGGGACCAAGAGAGACTGGATGACTTGCTGGAGTCTCACACAGGTTCCTCACACTCATGATCAACGCTAGTTATGAGTGTCCCCTCTGCAACCATCTGGGGACAGTTTCTAGCGTCATACTGCAGAGGAGCACACGGAAGGTGAGGAGGGTTGACCACTCTCCTGCTCACATTCTGTGAGGTTCGGTTGTTTGAACTCCTCTGTTTCCAGGTGAGGGCGTCTCTACTCCAGTGTGGAACCCTCCCTCCCTCTATGCTTCTTTCTGAGGATGTGTTTTATATTTCCCAGAATCCTGTAACCACCTAAAGGTGGAAAGGGAAGGAGATGGGAAACATCAAGTTCATGAGTTCCTTTCTCTGCCAGGTTTTTATGTTTTTATAGGAAGAAAAAATTAATAAAAGTGACTCTGACTTTACATTGACAATAAAAATGAGTGAATTTAGCACTAGAAAAAAATACATAGAGAGAGATTGTGTGTGTGTGTGTGTGTGTGTGTGTGTGTGTGTGTTTACCTCTATAAGAAAATGGGCTGGTCTTGAAAGGAATTTAATCCATAAAAGTTCCAATGTAAATTAAAGCAGTTATGAGTCTGAGCCTGTTTCATTAGGAGAGAAAAAGAAGAATAATTTTTCCAGATGAATTTCATGATTGATTTTTCTATTTCTAAGAAGAAGGTCATTGGGATTTTGATTGGAATTGCATTAAATCTGTATTGTGCTTTTGGTAGTATGGTCATTTTGACAATATTAATTCTGCCTATCCAAGAACAAGGTAGATCTTTCCATCTTCTAAGGTCTTCTTTAATTTCTTTCTTTAGTGTTCTGTAGTTTTCATTGCAGAGGTCTTTTACCTCATTCATTAAGTTGATTCTCAAGTATTTTATTTTTTTGAGGCTACTGTAAATGGTGTGGTTTCCCTAATTTCTCTTTCAGAGGATTTGTCACTGATGTACAGAAATGCCTTTGATTTATGGGTGTCGATTTTATATCTTGCACCTTTGCTGAATTCATTTGTTAGTTCTAGAAGTTTTCTGGTGGAATTTTTTGAGTCTTCTAGGTATAGAATCATGTTGTAGGCAAATAGTGATAGTTTGAGTTCTTCTTTTCCTATTCATATCCTTTTAATTTCTTTTGTCTGTCCAATTGCTCTGGCTAGAGTTTCAAGAACTATGTTAAATAGAAATTTTGAAAGAGGACATCCCTGTCTTATTCCAGTTTTTAGATGAATGGTTTCAATTTTTCTCCATTTAGAATGATGTTGGCCTTGGCCTTAGCATAGATAACTTTTCATAAATTCCAACTCCTTCCTTTGGGAGAGATGCAAATTTGGGAAAGTTTTTCAAATTCTGAGCTCAAACCCTCTTCTGAAAATAAAGAGAAATGGATACTTTCTTTGAAGGACTGTTGAGAAAATGTTAAATGAGATAATGGACATAAAATTCCTAAAAGTGTTTCAGTAAATGGGAATTTCCTCCTGTCTGAAGGTCTGAGCGTGGGTGAGAAGTTACACAGGTTGGATGACACATGAGTCCTCCCTCTTCCATATATCTCTCTGTCCAACTTTCTATCTCTAAATCCATTTGTAATCTAGCTCTGATAGGAATGAGATATGCATTTGGACTTTTCTCCAATAGGCCAAATAAGGACTCCATTATTATTATTATTATTTTAATCTCCTGTGCAGAGAGGTCAATGATATTCACTAATCAGTCAAACTTTTAGAGAAAACCATCAGTGAAGGTGCAGGGAGGCCTGGCACATCACAAACACAGCTTGGCTTGGTACCAGGACTGCACCAGATTTCTGGTTCCCAATGTTTATACTGTGCTCTCAATGGGCCTTCATCCTCAGTCAAGATCTCCATTGCTGCTGACCCCTACTTGAGGTGCTCTAAACCTTTCCTGCTCGGGTCCTGTTGCATGGATTCCATCCTTGTGTTGGGAGACCCACTGTTTCTCTCTCTAGTTAGTCTTAACTCTAGGGATGGTCTCCTTGAACGCTCAATGAAAGTGATCACTTATCTCCATTGTTCCTTAACTGGAAACAGACTTTTTGGTCCTGGTCCTTTTATAATTCCTTATTTATGATTTATGTTTTCTTTTTTAAAAAAGAGTTTCACTAAGCTTCCTAATACTCATTGAGTAGTTTCCACCTGTCAACCAATAATGAAGGCTGATAGGGACACTAGCCTAATTTGGTGACCTAAAAGGGGCTTAAAACTAATCATTACCACAGGTTGGTGAACACCTGGCATAGTAAAATGTACCCTGCAGTGATTTCCCTTTATGGGTTCCTAGGATTTCCAACCAAGGGTCATGATTGGAAATCCTAACCAAGCTAGTCAGAGCCTGAGGAAGGCTGCCAGGACAAGAGAACCAAGGACCCTTCCCCTTCTGCCCAGGTGAGTCCTACCTGCTAAGATAGCCTCTCAATTTTCAGGTGCAGTGGACACTATACCCTTCAAATGTCTATCCACTTCCCCTTCAAATTAGGATTTCATCTTATCTTTGAGAAAATCTCACTCTCAGTGACAACTTACAATGTGATTTTGACAGCTCCAAAATCTGGATACAGAAAAGAGGATCTCACTGAAACTGTTGGTCTCTTATAACTTTCTCCACCAATATTAACACTTATTCCAGTGCACTGACGACACTTATATTCTAATTTACAATGATGTTATACATTCTATCTGAGTGATTTTAGAGGTTTTTTTTAAAAAATTGCACATGTGCTCCAATGATTATCTAGTTTTCTGAGTTTTAGCGCCTGAGAAGTCCAGTGAGTCTTGACCAAGGTTGATTTTGGCCTGTATCCTAGACGGCATGCAGCAATGTCCAGAGACAGTTTGGGTTATCAGCATTTGAGGATCAGGAAGTTACAGCATCAATTGAGTAGAGGTTTAGTCTGAGTCTAAATATACAGCAATAAACAGACCCCCAAGAATTACCCGATCCATAAGGGTAGTTGTGCCAAAGCCAAGAATCCCTGCTTTAGTCATTTTCTAGGTTTGTCATAAATGATTGAATACCAGAGAGAAAATGTGATTTGTCACCTACCTAATGAGTGGCAAAGAATGAACTAGAATTTACCTCTCCTTATTCTCAGACTACTTCATTCTTATTAAAATAAATACTAAATTTGAATACATACGTATATGCGTATTTGTGTCTTCAATAAATTGTGACGGCTCGGAGAGCAGAGAGTTGCCGTGGCATTTTAGCAAGCATTCTCACATGGTTGTATTACAGCATCGCTTGGAATGCTTCAATAGGGGTGCAAGATATTTATAGAAATGTTTGAGTGCTGCTGTAGTCTGGCTGGGCACAAATCATGAGCCACTCAAGCAGGAACAAACTTTATTTCCAAACTTCACCAGCACACTCCCCGGGAACTCTCCCCAACGCCACCCACGCGGCTCCTTTAGGAACACACCACACACCAACCAGAACTCCCTCCACCGGAACTTCACCAACCAACTCGAACTCTCCAGGAATCCCCGCAAGAGCTCAACCGGAACTCAACGGGAACTCCGCGAGAACTCAAAAGTACTGGCAAAATGCTAGGCGCCATCCCAACTCGGCTGTGGCTCTCAACAGAGTGCACAGGTATCTATAGTTTCTCCCTTTGATCTTTCTTCATGTAAAGGAGTGCTACAGAGGCATTAAATAATAGAACTGTGACATGGCATCAGCCAGTCTAGATTATCAGAAACAATTTTCTACAGATCAAACAGAACTAATAAAGAAGTGAACCTGCCCTACTGAGGGTACATAGGACCGAGGAAAAGAAACTTGGAAAGAACAGGCGTTTGTTGAACTTGGCAAAGGGCAGAGATTAACAGATACTCCTTAACCTGAGACTATAAGAGTTCACAAGGAGATAATTACTGTGCTCAATTTTGTGAAGTCATAAATCCAGGTCATTCTTCTGTATAAATCGAAACATTCTTACAGATTTTGATTCACCTGCAAGTTCTAGAACTATTGGTTGGATTGCGTCTGGTAGGACTGGGCGGCTTCTTTCTCAAAAGGAGGTAAAGGTTTGAGAAGTAATTGAATTCCTGGAACTACGCAGATGAATGTCACTTTCACTGGTCCATTAGGGATTTCAAGTCTGTGATC